TTTTTTTTTTTGCTAATTTTTAAATTTCTTGAAGTCTTTATTTTGGGACTTTCGACTAAAAGTTGTAAGTACACCAGTTGATAGGGAGAAAGAGTTTTTTTTTCAGATCCGAGAATGTCGTTATCAGGCACCGCTCTTTCCCCAACCCCCTCAATTTTCACACGGCTTCGGCGACCATGTAGACCGCTTAATATTGATAAGCCAACAAATAAAAAAACGGGGGATAAGAAAGAATTGACGTCAAATGTCATCAAACTTGTGGACCAAATTTGCAACTTCAAACAATGGCAGGCATTTTGAAATGTTCTTCGTAGAGACGAAGTTAAGCGAATCCTATTGAGGGTTTGAAAATATGCAATCTATGAGACAGACAATGCACAGTAATAGAGCGAGCTCTTTGAAAAGTCATCTGCTAGTGTTGTTGAAAACATGTTCGATTCCGGGGAACCTACTTAAGATTTGCAAATGAGCAAGAAAAGCACGCACTACATTGATCTGCATTGTATTGAATTCATCACTGAGGCGGGAAGTTTTTCTGTTTATAATTAACACCATTCCGACAAACTTAACTGAAACGCCCTTCTACCACTGTAAAATGTTAATTGCTCTTCTCAGCAGTGAAATACTATACAATACAGAATGAGGCGGTGCGTGCGTTTTTGCTTATTTGTATCCCTAAGCTCTAAAAGTGAACATTTGTATTTCTAACACTTGTGCTGAATAGCTCTGACTGGAATGCTCATTAGCGCATCATATTTAAGGTCGACACTTAAGCATCTCAAAACATTCATTGCGTGAACGGCGTCCCAGCGAAGGCAGTGTAAAGTATTCGAGATCAAAATGTCGCTTTACTATGGCGGTCGAATTCTTACCATGGTTGGAGAGACGAGGGAAACAGTGAAATATGTCGAGGCGGTAGTGGAAAAGGATGGCAAGATCACATTTGCAGGAAGCCTGTCCCATGCGAAAAGAATATTTCGTGGAATAAACGAGGTGAACCTCGAAGGACGAACCATGATGCCAGGGCACATTGATCCTCACCTTCATCCTTCCATGGCGAGCTTGATTCTCAAGATGGATTTCATCACGCCGTTTGACTGGGATCTTCCTAACGGCAAATTTCCTGGAGTAAGAACCGAACAAGGATATCGTGACCGCTTGACGAAGTTGATTACGCAGCGAAACTACGTCAGTTCAAGGCAAGATTTCTTGATAACTTGGGGCTATCATCCATCTTTCCATGGCAAGATGGCGAAAGGAGTAATAGACCAACTAAAGCCTTTAGTTCCTGTAGTTGTTTGGCACCGAAGCTTTCACGAAGTCTACCTCGGCACAATCGCTCTTGAGCAGCTCAAGTACGACGACTTGGACGAGCTCAAGAAAAACCCTCAAGTTGAATGGGACAGTGGCCATTTCTTCGAGATGGGTTTGGATGCACTTCTAAGCACGACGTCGTTCAAGGACCACGTTTTCCCTCTAATGGAAGAAGGCTACAAAGATCTGGTCCAGGTTATCCATCAGAATGGAATCACTACTGTGGGAGATTTGGAATTTCCTTTGATTGATCTGGACCTCGAAAAAAGCATGGCTTCCAAGAATCTGAAGTCGAAGGATGTCTTCTTCTCGACCTATTGCGTTTGTAGTGCGAGGAACTTCAGCAAGATCGCAGGTAAAGACCACGAGAAAGCCAAAACGCTCATTCAGGATCTAGCGAAAGAATTCAGTGATGATCAAGTGATTGTGTACAAAGACCACGTGAAGGCGCTCTGTGACGGGGCGTTCTTTTCTCAGCTTATGCAAATGGAAGATGGCTATTCTGATGGCCATTCCGGTCAGTGGATAACTGAACCAGACGAGTTGGCAAAACTGATGGAAGTCTACTGGAACTCCAAGCCCAAAGGGTTCCAAATCCACGTACATACCAATGGCGACCTTGGAATGGCAAAGCTACTAGAAATCGTGGAACATCTGAAGACTATGTACCCTAGAAAGGATCGTGGGACGACAGTCGAGCACGCTGGCTACTTCACTAAAAAACAAGCTGATAAAATAGCTGAGCTTGGTTTGAGAGTTTCGGCCGCTCCGTACTATCTCCATACGTTAGCTGAAAAGTACAGCAGTGAAAAAGAAGGCATTGGTAAAGCTCGGGCGGAGGCCATGTCCCCATTAAGATGGCTCTTTGATAATGGAGTGGTCACAGCTCTGCATTCTGACTTCACGATGGCACCGTCAAAACCTCTTCTTCTCGCCTGGTGTGCTGTGAACAGAGTTACCGCCGAAGGGAATTGCTTCAGAAAAGATCTTGCAATCACTCCCTACGAGGGCCTGCTTGGAATCACTAAGAATGCAGCCATAATCCTTGGTACTGATGACATCATGGGAACCATTGAAGAAGGAAAACTTGCCAATTTTACAATCCTGGAAAAAGATCCACTAGAAGTTGAGCCCATGGAAATTAAAGATATCAAGATCTACGCCTCAGTGTACAAAGGAAGAATGAACTCAATACGTACTTAGTGAACTAACTGTGAATTTTGTTGGACTTGATAGCGCGATGACTTCACTGACTTGCATAAAAAAATATTCAAACAAGTAAAAAAGTTCAAATGAAATGAAATGTGTTGAAAATGGCTTTAAAAAAAGGTTAATATATGGATCAGAATCTGCAAGCAAATTTAGAGTTGGTATATTTTGTCCCAATAATTATTAGGGATTAATTAATACAAAATGATTATATTGATTTATATTATTAACAACATGAAATTGTTAGTGAAAAGCTGGGTTGAAAATAAAGCCGATCAAACAAAGCAGTTTTAAAATTATAGAAACTCGAACAGAAATGTAGTTACAACCCAGACAAACATTTCTTGTAAAGATTAAAAATAAAAATGAAAAATATTAAACTGAATCTTCTCTAATTTACTGCAGTTCATTTATCCAATATTCTCTGACATATTCTCTTCAAATTATGAATTTATTTTACTTGGGCTGCGAAACAAAGTTGCATAATTAGTGAGTAAAAGTTCAAAGTAAAACAAAAGAAAACAATGGAATTAGTGTCTACTATGTATCATGCTAGTTTTGTTTCTTTCGTGTTCTAGAAACAGTAGAAAATAATATTGTTTACTATCAATCACGTGACTTTTTGGAGTTGACTGGGGGGCAAACAAGCGGTTGACTGGGGGGCAACTAGCGGATGCTAAGTCAAAACATCAAAATAAGTCCTCAAACTATTGCATTTGACTATTTCTACGACATGAAACCAGAAAACAAGAGATCAAAACAACCTCCAAGATTTTACAAGCCATCAAAAAAGAGCTATTATCGGAAGTGACGTCTATTGATAGCAACCTATAATGCATACTAAATAAAACAATAAACTTTCATACAATATATGCATTGTATTCTACTATAACATGAACTTGGAGCCAAAACACGCATGACATGCAATAATTTCTAGAAGCTGCATGAGAAAGTAGAAATAATCGTCCGGCTTGTTAACCTCTTCTTATTAGTGGTATTAGTGTCTTAGCGGGCGCAACAATTGTGAGAGTAGATCAAGGCTTGAAGGACGCGAAGATGATACCACCCAATCCCCGTTTTGAATTGATGCACGATTTGATTGATGTCTTGGACTGCTTGCGCATTCTTTCCCATATCGATCAGCAAAATGCATGGCACGTGTATTGCTGAGCTTTCAACCACATCAATCCCGCTCGTTTCCACGTTTATTTTGCATACTTCTTTATTTTCGTTCATAATTCACATTTTTACATTTAAAATATTCTTTTCACAATTGCATAGATGAATTTAGAAAAAAATTTACTAAAAATTAGAAAGTTGGTCAGATCGAATCACAAATTCATCGTGACTTTGTAATTTTAAATCAAATTTTGGAATAACTTGAATGAAAGCTGATTACCCAGTGGAATCAAGATCTTGTCCTACGAACAACATCGCAGTATCTGTTTTAATGTGCTAGAAGGATTACGAGGCAATTTTCTTTCATGATGTGCAGGACAGTAAACAGTTGAAACGATTTATAATCAATTTTCCGTGATCAAAGTTTTTAAATTCAGAAATACCTATTCTAGCTACTGTAATTTGTTGCGCTTGTGTGACATAGTAACGGTAACTAAGTGTGGTGTGGTGTCAAATCATTCAGAGTCAATTGAGGCAGCCAGATTTGGCATAATTGATACCTCGCTGGTGGTACCCCAAATATACCCTCGTTCCAAAGGAACCTTTAGGTCCATAATACGTGTAGTACATCTTCTAATAGGGGAATGTTCTAGATGTGTTATTTCTTCTAGACTGCGAGCTAAGTCCCTCTATTTCCCTTGGTCACTGTCCGTCTGTCTGTCCGTGTCGATTGGTCGAGGACAGACGGACAGTGACCCAGGGAAATAGAGGGACTTAGCTCGCAGTCTATATTTCTTCCAATCCCGTGATTAGCACCAGGAGGTACAAGGAATATATTCCAACTTGTTCCAAAGGAACCTTTTGGTCCATAATACGTATTATACATCTTCTAATAGGGGAATGTTCTAGATGTGTTATTTCTTCCAATCCCATGATTAGCACCAGGAATTACAAGGAATATATTCCAACCTGTTCCAAAGGAACCTTTTGGTCCATAATACGTATTGTACATCTTCTAATAGGGGAATGTTCTAGACGTGTTATTTCTTCCAATCCCATAATTGGTACCCGGAGGTACACCGAATATATTCCAACCTGTTCCAAACGAACGCTTTTGTCCATAATAATTATTGTACATTTGAGATACAGAGTAGTTTCCAGTTGATGTTATAAAGCTTGGATTTACTCCATCTGCTTTCGATGGCTTGTTTGCGTTCACGTCCATAGGTGAGTTTTTTACTGGTGACCTTAAAAAAAGACGATATGACAATATTGAGAAAAACGATATGCCAAAAGTAAAAGGTTTTACTAGCCTGCGTCACATCCGGAATTTTCTTCGTAAATACATTCGGCGAAACATCGCCAGAAAGCTTGTTCTAGACCCTCTGCAAATTGCGCGATTATATGTAACATATTCTGATTGGCTGTTAGCCATGCTCATTCTAACGTGAACTCCCATTGGATAACACTATCTGGACGTGACGCAGGCTAAGGTTTTACTAATAAATATTAACAGGATATTTTATATGAATAATTACTTGTTATATTCGGCTTGCTTGGTCGGCGTTCCTGCAACCTGCAAGGGATTCCCTGCCGAGGTCAGGTGAAGATTTCTTTTCCGTCCTCCACTCGACACTCTTTCAAAACTGTCCAGCTGCCCTCTTTCATCTCCTTTCAGTCTTCTTGTTCTTATTTCAGGTGCCGAACTCTCTCTGGAAGTGTTATAGCGGCTGTAGCTCGTGGCCCGTGCAGCAAGACCTCGGTCAGCGTTGAATGCATCTGGGATGCCACTAGGACCGGAACCCAAGATTGAAAAAAAAGTATTTTATGATAGTCCACCATGATGTCTTTTTTTTTTCATCAACTGCAACGTGATGGGAGAATCAAGGGTGGTTTAGCAGTAGTCCAATCACCTCCCACCTCGGGTGGATGTCACGAGACCGATTTCTGGACTCAGCATCATGTGTTAGTAAAGTTTGTAGGGTATCTTTCCCGAGTCAAGGGATTTTCTCCAGGTTCTTTGGTTTTCTACATCGGTAAAGCCTAACACGCTTAATTCCAATTCCATCTGTGAGTTCAATATTCCCTGACTTAGATTAGCCCAAAGGTTGTTTCAGGGTTCGACCTGTGAGTTAGCCATGCCCTGACTTAGATCAGCCCAGAGGTTGTTTCAGGGTTCAACCTGTGAGTTAGCCGTGCCCTGACTTAGATCAGCCCAGAGGTTGCTTCAGGGATCAATCTGTAAGTTAGCCGTGCCTTGACTTTGGTCAGCCCAGAGGTCGTTCCAGGTTTTGATCTGTGAGTTAGCCGTGAGGTTGTTTCAGGGTTCGATCTGTGAGTTAGCCTTGCCCTGACTTTGATTTGCTTTGAGATTGCAATTAGAAACCTTAGAAAAGTAAGATAGAAGAACTGAAGTAAAAACCTAAATACCTTGATTCCAGTATCCATCTGGATCCTGCAGACCCTACTTGAGACCGTGAGGCAGAGTGTCTCCCAGGAGGCCTGGGTGCCAAAGGAGGCAGTTTGACGTCCATTTCTTTCAAAAACTCGTCATTGCCTTGGCTGTTTCTCGAGGTTCCCGTTGCCATGGCTTCGCCTGAGCTTCTCCTGGTATTATCAATGTCCATGGGCTGTGAGGTGTTGAACTCGTTTGTGGCTTGTCTTGAAGTTACTGGAACCTCTTTTCTTGATGATGATGGAAGGTTGGTTGGAGATTGACGACTGACTGCCTGTCTTTTTGGAAGGAGACTGTCATTGTCCACTAAAAAATGGAAATAGCAAAGATTACTCACCAAATTAATCAGTGTCACTTTTTTTTTCTTCAAGGAAGAAGCCTTTACTTAGGTTAGCCACTGAAGTGGTGCAGAGGCTTCCAGCGTCTATCTTTCCCCTCTCCTTCCCCAATTAAGCCCCTAACATGGAACATTACCTGGTCGTTTATATGGGTATAATGGAGGACAATCTTTGGGATTGTTAACAGAAAAGCGTTGGTGTCTTCTAGAAACCAGACCCACAGCTGAAAAAAATAGAAAGAGAATGACTGAGCACCAAGTTGGATTTTCACCGGTATACCTTTTTTAAAGTTAAGCTAGTAGTTACAATATTTTACTTACCTTGGAGGTCTCTAAAGAACTCTGCAAACACCACGAAATTGTTGACCTGTTGTGACAAACCACAAGAAAGGGTAAGTTAAACAATATCTTAACTCAGTTGATTTATAGGCCAGGGAAAAAATTATAGCATATCATTTCAGCTTGGTTAGAAATTATATGGCACCATTTTTTGATGTGGGAGCAATTTGAGCCCTAATATACAAATTTTATACAAACTCCACTCACATACGTATGAAGTTAAGTCCAGTAATTGAACCAGAGACCCCAAGGTGAGAGAGCACTACTGCTATGGCACCCTCGAATCCCAAAGCGAAAATTTCTAATGTTTTGCCTCATGACATTGCAACCATGAGACCCCTCTGTACCCACTGGTAAGAATGATAAGCAAACTTACTTACTTGTGGAATTGGTTTGTCCAAATTGTAATGTTTCTTCAGAAATGATAGGAATTTATGAGATGGTCTGTCAACAGCTAATTGTCCAGGCTCTATTCCTTCCATCTGGTTTAGAATTATGGTAAAAGTGCAACAGAAACACAATCATTGTCAAAAGTAAAAACGAATTGCCCCCTTTCACTATGATGTCACATCAAAACAATCTATTGTTTAAACACAAAGGATCATGGTCGTCGGAGGGGGTCAAATCAATGCAAATTCACCGAAAATTGTTCTAAAACCCGTATCAATCCAAGAAGAGAAGTAGAATAGCCAGCAAACTCTCATTATATTTTTTTAGTGCATATTAACACATATCTGAAAACCAGGGCATTTTAGATTAAACTGTTTCGCTAGCAGCAAATTTTGTTGAATTTTCTATTGGATTTGGCAATTCTATCCCCCACAAGAGGGGTTCAAGCTGCCAACATTAAAATATGACTGTAAATATCTGATGGGCTAACTGATGGAATAGTCTAAACAAAAACACACTTCCGGCTTCTATGGCTGAGAAAGGAGAATTTTTGTATTTATCATTTAAGGTAGGAGGGTTGGATTGACCCCTCGAACCCCCTTGATCTGCACTTGACCCTCATCTGCCTGTTCTCATTATGTTTCGTGCCAAGTTTCATTCTTGTATGCTTGTACACTTATCCATTTGAACTTTCTGCAACATTTGTCATTGTTGCAAAATAGTGTTATTGCTAAAAAGCTAAAAACGATGTTTGGTCTGTGATCACCAGTGTGTCATGATCAATGCTCAGATTAGCTTGACCATGCATACCTCCTCATGGCTGGTCATCTTTGCCTTGCTGGTGATTTTCACCAGTAACATTGGGCCAGAAATGAAGTATAATGAGCTAAAAGTGGCCATTGACGACATGACCAGTGACTGACCAGCCATATTATTAAAGCCCTGTACATCACATACTTTGTATTGTTGTTATATAAATGGCTTACTTTGATCATGTGCTCAAACAAAATCTTTCCACATCCTGTTCTTTGTTTGGACTCATGGATGTAGAAATCCAGTACACACAAGGGGTTCACTTCATGTTGATTCCCATGGTAATCCTACAATATCACATGCATCAATCAAAGAAAATTATATAAGCCCAATATCTGTAGATATATTTTGAAAAGCAAAACTCAAAAACAGCTTTTAACAGCACTGTTCTACAAAAAAAACTGCTGAAAAATATTGTAATGGGATTAATTACAAGACAGGTTTTATGACATATATGTACTTTATTTATTTCTTATTATCATTGTTTGGTTAATAAGAAAAATTAGTTCAAAATTTAACACCTATAAGTTAAAAGTATATTTACCAGGACAAATAGCTTTTTATGACCAATCTTAATGATTCCAATTACTGCACCAAGACCACTGTAAAGTAAAATATAAATTATAAATATGTTATAAAATAATTACATTATTCAATTGATTACATGTATCATAAATTAAGTAAATTAAGTTTGGTGTGAAATGTGAAGTAAATTAAAATAATAATAATAATAATAATAATAACAACAACAACAATAACAATAACAACAGCACTTTATTTACTGAGGATGTAACAGGTAAAGCAAAGCTTTGCTCCAGCCTGGCCCTCCTAATGAATAATATGATACAAAATATAAAATTTATACCGTGATATTTAAGCAGGTAGCATGGGAAACTTTAAAACTGTAATATTTATGCTTGAAAATAAACACTTATGTAAATCTTTGAATATGTCCATGTACATACTAAGCCTATCAGTATATCTTGTTGTGATTGTTAAATGTTTAGGAATATAGGGTGGTGTGTGGAAGTACGTAGCAGGAGTGTATTTGCTTCTGGATTCCCAGACTTGGCATCACATGTGAGTAAAGCTTTTTATCTCTCTCTCTCTCTTGATTCAAAGTTTTTTCTCCAGTTTTTCTCCCTCTGCAGCTCGACTGCAAAATCTAGCTAAATGATATGCTAAATTCCAATCCGATCTGTGAATAAGCCATTGATTTTTACGGAGGGAGGAAACTGGGGAACCCGGAGAAAACCCTCGTAGCATAGGAGAGAACAACACATCAAACAAACTCAATACACATGTGGCGACCTACAGCGCTCGAACCAACGACCCAACAACCCAACCCATTGGACTCACAGCAGTGAAAGATGATGTGCTAGCTACCCATGAGCTTTGACAAAATATAAAGGTTACGTACTTATTAGCTGGTGGATCTTTCAGTATGTATAATCTATGATCTGAAGTAGCCAGCTTGATGGCACTGGTTATGGAAGCCTTCAAATTCTGGGCCTATAAATAACATTATTATAAAGTGCATTAGAAACATGGAATACAATAATGCAATATTTACAATAATGTAAAACTCAGTTATTTTTACTTAATAATTCTACCTTAGCTGATGCCTCTCCCATTAGGTCAACAATATTCTTTAACTCTTTTTGCTTTGAGTTGAATAAAACCCTAAAATGTAAACAAAAATCAACTTTAAAGTGCTACTACGACGAAAATTGCTCAAACTTGGATTCAGCTGAAACTTCCTAA